CTTCTCTAGCCATTCGTTTGTTGATGGGCACTTAGGTTGTTTCCAACTCCTTGCTATTGTGAACAAAGCTGCAATAAACATGGGTGTGCATAAGATCTTCCTTTCTTATACTGACCTGCCACCTTTCAAAGTATGATTTCCCTCTCAAAGGACTGGCTTCTCATAAAAATATGCCAAAAGTATATGAGATGAAGTGTCTTCATCTTTGCCTCCAAGAGACACCCTGGTTATACTTTTTCCAAGGCAGACTTGTTTGTTATTTTGACAGTCCGTGGTCTATTCAGTACTCTTCTCCAACACTACAACTCAAAGGCATTGATTCTTCATTTGTCATACTTATTTGTTGTCTAATTTTCAAATGCATAGCAAGCAATTGAGAAGACCTAGGTCTGAATCAGTTGTATCGTAGTCTTTAAGTGACATCATTGCTCATTAGTACTTTGGAGAGATCCCTGACAGCAGATTTTCCCAATACCATACATCTTTTGATTTCCTAACTAATACCAAGGGTCACTATGAATCACCGGCGACTTGTTGGCACATAATAACAATAGTACCAAGGGTGTTGATTGTGGATCAGGTAAGGTTAAATATTTAACAATTCCAATCTTTTCTCCATCTATCATAATGCTGCCTATTGGCCCAGTGGTGAGGCTTTTTGTTTTCTTGATGTTGGGATGCAATCCATATAGAAGGTTGTAGTCTTCTATATTTTCCACCAAATGTTTCAATTCTTCCTCACTTTGAGCAAGCAAGGCTGTGTCATCTGTAAGAATACAGCCCTGATGCATGCTTTACCTCCTCACCCCTTAAATAATTGTTTATTGGCAGTGAGTTAGAAAAAGTGATGGAGTTGGCAGACAGAAACACCACCACAACAATATCATAAGGGCAGCAAGAATGATAGGGAGGAGCAGGTGGAGCCCAAGAGGAAAGCCTCTCCTGAAGTGTGAAGTCTAGGAGGGCACTGGGGTCTGGAGTGTTGAGGGGGCAGCCTTAGGACACCTTCACTTAGTAATTAAGTATAAAAAGGGACAAAGAGTGCCTCAGACTGACTCCTCGAAGTGTACTTTCCTTGGCAGGTGAGGTTGTTGGCCGAGGCTTGCTTGGTACACACCTCCTGTGCCACATTCACATTCTCCTTCTTCTCATCCCAAGCCTTCAGTGCAGAAGCCTGCAGGGCTCAGCCATAGGAGAAGGTCAGCACTCATGGCTTCAGCAGGGGGCACTGGATGGTGTTGAGGTTGATGGATGCCTCCTACACACTCTGGTCTCCAGACAGGAAATTGATCCCAGTGACAGGTGTGGCGGGGGGGGGTTGGGGGGATGGTGCCACTGTGTAGGGCAGTGCTGTAACAGTTATCATGGCAATCTCCTCAAGAGAAAACTT